TGCATATGGCGCCAGTGATGGTCCGCCGGCTTATCTTTGGGCGGACACGGCTCGGCCAGGCCCAGCCGAGGGCGGCAGGCCGGACTACGCTTACCTTCACGCTGCGCCGCACTCCTGTTCCGCGCCGACTTTGCCTTCGCCTTTCCGCCTCGCGGAGGCAGACGCGCATCGCTTCCTATATTAGGGCTGCGCCGCGGTGGTCCGCGTGCTCACCGCCGAAACGTAACGCTTTGCGGTAACCCCTTTACGCGACCCGGCGGTGGAGCCCGCCCCGCCCCACCCCGACCGCACCCCTTGGAACACCCTTTCCACACCTATCCGCCCCAGACCTCGCCGCCGCCGCCACTGACAGCCCTGGAGGCGCGGAAGCGATGCAGACGGGCGATTTTTAAGAGCTCCCTCCACCCTCCATGCCTCCATGGTCCCGATACGTATCACTCGCATCCCCCACCCCCCTTCCCTCTCTCCCGCTTCTCCATAGCCCCCTCTCTCTCTCGCACACACATGCTCGTTCTTCTTTTGTTTCGTCGTGATGCACATCACAGACGGGTGGCGGCGAGGGCGCTCTGATAGCGGTCGCGATCAGAGAGGACGTGATGCATTGTTTGGACGCGGGCACGTCCGGGGGAAGGACGCAGCCCCCCCGCCGTCCGGGCTGGGTGGGGTGGGGGTGCATCGCCTTGGACGGAGACACTGAGCCGAGTGTAGCCCGTACTGTACTACACCGCTGCGCCGTGCGGCGCGGTCCTTCCCCCCTCGCCCCTTGGCGCGGTGTCGCACTAAAGACGGCGGGTTAGCTTGGGGTTATTCGTTTCCGACCGCGTATTCTCTGCCCGCAGGAAAGGCTGGGCCCGGCTGCTCTGGCCAGCAAGGGCCCGGGTGGGCAGTGGGCCGAATGGAATTGGGACGCGTTCCATTTCGACACGTACGCGACACGCCGTGTGTCTGTGGGACGGAGATGGAGCGTGTTGGGCAAGATCCCCGCTGCGGGGCGGGACGTGCGGCGGCAGCGTGGCGACCTGCCCGGCCCCCGGCCCCACAAAAGGGTCAAGGGGACACAAGCACAAGCGACACAAGTCTGCGGCCGGCAAGGCGCCCCGCCACTCCGCGACCGCTGCGCCCTCGTCGCCCCA